GTGTGTGTGTGTGTGCGTGTGTGTGTGTGTGTGTGTGTGCGTGTGTGTGTGTGTGTGTGTGCGTGTGTGTGTGTGTGTGTGTGTGTTCATGGGTTTCTGTCAGAGGTCTGACCTTTTACTAAGACCAGTCCTGCTGACCCTGCCAGTAGAGGGCATGGGTCCTGATTTAGGGATCAGCATGAAGACCGTTTTAAATACTCCCATCTCCAAGGAAGAAATCCAAATTTATGGCAGCTAGGGGCCGTGTGTGTCTGGCTCCGTAATAGTGTAGCCAGTCTGTTTGGGTTCCCAGGGTCGACTGAGGGCCAGGATGGGAGAGACACTGTAAACGGTGCGTTTAAAAATGAAGTGGGCAGTAGTGTCACTATGATCAGCTGACTTTTACCCCAGTCCCCACTGTAGGGCTGGTCATCAGTGCGTCTTGTGTAAACGTGTCGGCCCAAACATGTCATACCTACGTTTATCGCAAGGGGCGATGGGCAGCACACATTCTTTGTGTCTGAGATGATCAGAATGTCCCAGTGTCCCCTTTAATGTGTGATTAATCTTGAATCTCTTTTTGTTGCGCTTTCTCTCATTCCAGGAAAGAAGAAGTCAAAGTTTCAGACCTTCAAGAACTTCTTTGTCCGTAAGAAGCGAAAAGGGGGGGATGCCCCCCCCGGGGAGGCCGTGTTGAAGGCCAGTCATTCCTCGGACAATGTGAGTGACGCCAAGCCCACCGCGGCCGACAGCGACGGCGACACAGACGCGGACGCCGGGTGAGCAGGCCCCGGGGAGGCCGACCCGCACTCAGCGGCCGCCGCCAGCGTGGAGCTCTACCTCTCTGCCATCACTCTTAACGGCTCTTTTGTGTGAGAAATTCCTGGCGTTCCTTCGAGGCCGCCGGGATGACTCCGTCCCTGTGTTTATCACATATCCGTGAGCGGCACACCTTAAATTAGAGCAGTCGCAGCTGGCAGAGGACCAACATGGCCATTCGCTTGCATAAGATGGGCATCGGGAGAAAGTGCATTCTGTATTTCAGAATAAGAGTCTGGGTGTTTACTGTGGAGATCCCCAGCCATCTCTGTGTGGGCTTCATACTTTAAAGGCAAATTGCTTTGCTAATTTAAAATGCACTTCCCTCCTACGGATTCAGGTTTATAAGAACATTAGTATGAGAAACAGCTGCTCCACTCATAACGGGAAACATTTCAAACTGCATGAGATCAATGCTCATTGGCCATTAATAGGTCACCTACTTGTTAACACAAAACAGCCCGGTTCTCCAAACAACCAGTCATGTGGCTGGACCTGAATTGCAACATGCAGATTTGTGAAGAGGTTAACTTTCTGATTAAGGGTCATAAGGACTAAGATGTCAGTGAAGCATTTCCACAAAGCATTTCTTGCTTAGCTGGATAACTTGTTGGACTTAAGGTAGCCTGGGCTCAATGGACTTTATCTTTGTTCCCTTACATTTAGCGAATACCTTATCCAGCTAAGCAAGAAATCCTGCTTTGCGGAACACCCCCCTGGGTGATCTTAAACGTGGTGTGATTGTTGATGCCAGGCATGGCGGTTCCAGAATCTCAGAAACAGACACCCTCCTGGGATTTTCACACACTGCGGTGTCTGGAGTTCACGGCGTATGGTATAATGAACAAAAAACACCCAGTCAGCAGCAGTTCTGTGGGTGAAAAATGCCTTGCTAATGAAAGAGGTCAGGGGAGAATGGCCAGAACTGGTAAAGCTAACAGAATGCCACAACTACAAGAATAACAACAACTGTGATGTTCAGAGAGGCTTCTCTGAATACAGAACTTGTTTACACATGATGACAAAAACTGGGACCTACTGGTATTACATACAGCCCCCTGGGGAATTGTATACGCAAAGGATAACCTTTAGGTCAGCTGTTCAAACCCAGGTGTGAGGACTCTTCAGCCAATCAGTCCTCTGGTTAGTAATCTAATTAGGGAGTTGCAATGAAAACCTGCATACACAACGGCCCTTTCTGGATAAGATTGGCCACCACTTATGTTGAGGTACCTAATAAAGTGGCCACAGGGTGCAGACTTCTTTCCTTCCTGGTGATTATTCTTGATTACTCCTGATTTTGTGATTACTGGTTTCTCTCAGTATGTGCAATGAGCCTGATTGAACTGCTCTGGCATTTTTGGGAGATATTTAATGTCCTACTGTGATCTGTCTCACAGCCAGAAGGTCAGCATGGGGAACAAGGCCAAGTCACATGACAGTGTGTTCGTCACCGATTCGCCTGCCTCGGATGGCTCCGAGGACTTGACCTCCACGCAGGACAGTGTCCAGGAGAAGGTGAAGGCCCTGCAGGTACTCCACAGCCACATTTATCTCCACTGCCACATCTCTCTCCACAGCCACATCTTCGCAGTGTCTCGTCCCTGGCTCTGACTCCCATCTCAGCCTGAACTGTTCCTTCTCACCTGCAATCCTTTTCCTGGTTCAGATGTGTTACCAGAAGCCCCACTGGTTCGCCACATGGCCTGGTGGAGGGTTAGTCACTATTGCTATAAACTGAAAAGCATAAGGGTTGCCTGAACACATGTACCAGGAGCGAGGGATCGTGGAAGATGGGGTTCAACCGAGTAAAAATAACTAGAGTTAGGAACCCCTTACCACTCCAGGAGAATCACCCGTAAATCATCTTCACTCCTGGGAGTGGGGGGACTCCCACCACCTACAGATTCTGATGACGTTTAGAAATTTTTGCTCAGAGAAAAAAACAAAATATGAGAATATCATACTTGTGTTATAAGCCACCAAAAAATATCTTAGGTATATTGCATGAAGGTGTAAACAGCACATTTTGTCAGGATTTACTGAATGTTTCTGCGGACCTCCACTTGACGACCCTTAGCCTCAGGGTGGGGGGGAAGTGCGAGCTGCTTCCTGGAGCTGGTTTACCACCGCATGCCTCAGCTGTGACACATCCCTCCAACAATAAGGAAGAAAATGAGACAGAGAAACAAACCGAAAGCCGCAGATGGAGGGCTGGGCCCGCATGCCGCTTGTTTACGATATGCTCCTCTGCAGCGGGGCCATCGTGTGGCGCTGTGCCCTTCTTTGGAAGAGGAGTGGAGACGGTGTCTGCCTCTGTGTGCAGACAGCACGGGCAGTCCAAAGCTGCTTCAGGTTCTGCTGCCATGACGACAGTGCCCTACATAGCTCTGATTCGTCAGGCCTATGTCCCTGCTTTCTGTGGACCAATCGGGTGCCCCTCCCTTTCAGTCCTGCCCAGTTGATTGGACGCTGCTGTGGATGTTGCATCTCCTGAGGGTTAACTGCTCCACGGCACGGAGGTTTTTGCTATTGGACATGCGTTTGTGCCTCTTGAAAGATGGAAGCCTCCTCTTGGTGTTATTTTCCTTCATTTGTACTCCATAAATGGATCAATTTTCTACATAATTAAGACCATATAGATATTCAGTTATACGATTGTTCTGGGGCCTAGAACAATTAACTAATCAACCAATTACTTTTAATTAAGATGCTTTCCGATCCATATATTCACTCATTTACTCAAAACTCGGAAAGGGGAAACATCAGTCATAAATAGGCTGCTGTTTGAGACACTCTGGCCTTTTCTACAGCTGGCGGCTACAGCCTTGGCCTGTAGGGGGTGCAGTGACCTATCGGTGTCTGACTGCGTCTGGGGGCCTTCCCAACAGCTGCAGCTGAAGCAGAGCAGCCGGCAGGCCACGCCCATCACCCTCATCGGTGTGAGGAAGGATGACGACCCGGGGGCTGTGTCTGAGGACGACGGCCTCCCCTGCAGCCCACCAGAGATCTCCACCCTGCACGCCGTCCTGGCTGGTCCTTCGCACAAAGTAGGGAGCCTCCACCCCGCCTGATCTCACTCCAGGCAGCTGGTGTTTCCTCCCTGACCACACCCCCCTCATACCCTACATGCGTTCTGATGGGACCCATGAAATAGCACCCAAGGCATGTTCAAACGGGACTAACTTTAGATGATCACATCCAAACTACTCACGTTCATACAGGGTAGGTCTTTTTGGACACACCTGTAACCGATACAGGGTTAAAAGGTAAACGGTCCCTGAATTCACACTGCACACTGCACCTCAGTTTCACACTGCACTCCACACTGCCCAGGTGAAACATCAACGCAGTTGCTCATTCTGAAGCTGTCACTTTTCTCTTGTGTGTTTCTTTCTTTGCGCTCTCCATCCAGCCCTCGAACTCAGTCCAAAGAAGCAGCTCGCTCAGCCAGGAGGGGTCTGACACTGACGATGACCAGGTAAACACTCGCCATGTGCCCTTGGCATGACGTCTCGGCAGTGGATGCTTACAGAGTTTCTCCACTTTTGTTCCTCAGTGATCGATGGGATGGCCCTAGCTTATTGTTGACCAGCTACCTTGCTGTGGGCCTTCAAAACAGGCACCTGGCGACATGCCACCATGTAATGCTTACAAAATGCAACACAATATATCAGACCAGTGACAAAGTACCCTCCCCCAGCCATGCTGCAGGGGGCGACAGTGAGTCATAGGACGCCTGCACATTCACACACATGGCTATGTGTTACAGAGCCACATCCCCTGGCTTACATGCCTCTGGGATGTGTAAGGACTCCAGCAAAAGCCGAGAGAGCTGCGACGGCCAGATGCAAAGTCGTAACAGATATTTAATAAGCTTCCCCATAAGCAGAGATGAGCCTCGGTAAGACAGCTCAGGGGGGTCCACAGGGGACAGGGGACGCTACAGGCTCATCAGGCTATGAGGGAATTGTTCCAGAAAGCACTAAAACTCTGAGGGTGGAAGTGAGACACAAGGCATGAAGAAAATCCAAGCACTGGACAGAGCTTTACTTTATGGTTAATCTGAAGAACACTGGCCATTGGGGAAGGGGCTAGGGGTTACCTAAGGGCCTAAACTTCCTCTTCATTGGGGGGGGGGTATGGGGGCAGGGGGGGTTGAAGGCGGGTGGACGGCCTACAGGGGTCCTGCATTCCAGCTGTGTTCTCCTGGGAGCTCTGTCAACACATCGGAGATGGGGGGGCGGGGTGGGGGCTGTGTCAAGTCCTCACCCATCAAAGGAGCTTGTCTTTTATGAGGAGTTTACAAATGAGGCAGGTCCTTCCAGACTTATCTTTTGACACACGTGCAGGTCGCTCTCACGCACTCACGCGCACATGAACGACAGGGGAACGTCACGACCTCTGACCCCGCATTCCCAGAAACACACAAGCACAAAACGAGCCGGGAGCCGCCAGCAACCAGCCTGACTCAGTACTTAAGGGGCAGCCAGCTGCACTGCTTCGAAATCCTGGCCCTGCTCTCCAGACCAAAGATGCTGACGTGACAGTAGTACTTTTCGAGTTATTTTGGACGTGTTTTTGAAGGATTTATGGTCAGCACCGCCTGCCGTTCCCGCAGCCTGGTGGCTCTCCAGCGAGCTCCCGGCGTGCCAGGGAATCGCAGGACGGCGGGCAGTTGTGACAGCAGACCATGCCTCCTTGGAAAACAAAGGGCATTTATTACTAATTCCGGAGTCCTTTTTTTGCTGTGCTAAGTCACCCACAGAGCCCTCCTGCTTATATGGCTTTAAGATCAGTTTGGCACAAAGCCTACATGCATGCTAAACTCGGTATGGTTTCCTTCTAGCGCATTTCCCCGCTCAGAATGACGAGTATGACGCCTTGCAGCGGGATCACATGTAAACAAAAATATGTGCCGTACGTCAGTGGGGCCGGGGCTGGTTATAAATTCCCAGTAACTTATCCACCAGGGCCTGGAATTCAAACATGGCTTGTAAAGTTGAACAGGAATGCTAACTGTGTTTATCCGAAGCCAAGCAGGCACAAAACACTGGAACAGAGAGTGGGCTTTTCAGAGGAGAGTGTTTTAGCTCTTGTTAATGTTGAAAACTGACGTCAACTTGTTCTTCTCGTAGGATTTGTTCAGCTCGACAGTCTCCTGAATGCACACATAATCCATTTCTTCCTTTTCCACTAACACAAAGGGAGGGTGAATTCCTAACAGTAAGGCATAATCATGAAAGCAGGAAAAACAAGGGCCTGCAAGGAAATTTGCCGAAATACCAGGGGGCGAAGTGTAGCTCGGCGGGTTAGAGCGCTGTGCCAGTGACCCGAAGGTTGCTGGTCCAGTCCCATGCAGAGTAGAATGATTTCTGCGTAATGCCCCTCAATGTTCCGGGGACTGACTGACCCTGCTGTCTCAAATGTGCGTCGCATTGAATGAACATGGCTGCTAAACAACTAATAATTTGTTTTAAAAAAGCAAATATCGAGGGTAGCTGCATTTTTTAGAATGACATGAATAATTTTCATCATTTTAGTTGATACTGTGCTCCAGCGGTGTGTCAATTTGCACGTTTGTTGGCCAGTAAGAACAGTGATGCTTAGGAGAGACATCAGAAGTATGAAATATTGTCTCTCTTTTTCACTATCTCTCTCCCTCTCTCTTTCTCTCTCTATCTCTCTCTCTCTCACACACACACACACACACGCAATTGTCCAGATGTCCTTTGAGGCGTCCTCCAGGCCGGTCAGCCCCCCCCACTACCTCCTTGTGGACCTCGGCTGTCCAGCGACCCCATCAAGCTGCCTGGACAACTCAGCTGCTCGCCACCGCATCGCTGTCAAGAACCGGGCCTGTGCTAAGCGGAAGCCAGCCAGCGTAAGAGCGCCCCCTGCTGCCAACCCCAGGGACCTCACACATCGCTAAAATTAAAATATGGATTACAGATTCCAAACACGATCTATTTAAAATTTTTATTTAAAAAAACATGGCTACATTGTGGAAAAACAAATAATCCATCTGCCAACAAACTATACAGGGTTGCAAAATACCATTGTGCAAATAATTTTATCGTAAGATTTGCATGATGTGATATCAAAGCTACTCTGACCTTGAGAGGTCCTGGTAGGTAGAAGGGAATAAACCCTTTCAGTTTGTCACACAAAAGATAACGGGGAAAACCAGCAGTTTCAGTATGTTCTGGTACAGATTGGCAATGGAAAAAAAAAAAAAACATCACCAGATTTCGCAAGTCATGAGCTCTCAGAGTTTGTACATCTTCCAGCTTCAAGGCTGAAAGACTTCCTTCAGCAATCATGTGATGCTGCTCTCTTCAGAGCTAGAACCTGGTATTGGTGCTTATCGTCCTCGTTTTTTTCTTTAACCTTCAGAGAGAGTTCCTGGACAGTGGAAGAGAGAGGGATCTCAGTGGAAAAGTTCCCCGCAGAGGAATAGAGAATGAACTGGGTGATGTTACCCCAGAACCTTCTTCAGCAGAGGAGAAATATAAAGGTATCCTGTCATCTGAAGAGTTAGATGTTTTCTCATCCAAATAGTTGATATAACTAAACTAGTACAATAACAAAATCAGTACTAGAATCATCTACACCAGGGGTGACCAATCTTATCCGCAAAGGGCCGGTGTGTGTATGCAGGTTTTTGGGATAACCTGTAGGTCAGCTGTTCAAACCCAGGTGTGAGGACTCTTCAGCCAATCAGTCCTCTAATTAGTAATCTAATTAGGGAGTTGCAGCGAAAACCCACATACACGCCGGCCCTTTGCAGATAAGATTGGCCACCCCTGGTCTAGACGGTTATAGCTATGTATTGACAGAGATGGCTGCAGCAAGCTCACTGTTTGTTTCTTGCAGATTTTGCTGTCCAGCAGATGCACTCTGCTGAGAGGATTAGTGAAGAGCGGGAGCTCCTGGATGAGGAAGTGCAGCTGGTCCCAGAGGAGGCGCCACCTGTGATGGAGCAGTCGGTCCCAGAGGAGGAGCCTCCTATGTTGGAGGAGCCAGCTGGGCTCCATCAGTGGCCCAGGATTGAGTCTGAAGAACAGAACACTGTAGATGAGAGCTCCTGCTGCGAGGATGCCCCCTTTCCTCCTTCCTGCTCTACGTCTTCCTCCTTTGTAGATAACTCGCAGGAATTTCTCCTGGATCCATCCTCAGAGACACAGAAACACCAGGGGAACAGGTCTCTGCTGACAGGTTCTCAAGAGTCTCTGGATTCCCTAGAGCTCCCCGCTGAGGATGACACGAATCTTATGCTGGAGTTAGGGTGCGAAGCCCCAGTGGAGGAGTCAGGCTCGCTCCTGCAGGAGGTGCTCAGCTCTCTGGAGAAGCCTCTGGTTTCTGGGCTTGTGCTGGAGCCTGATGCTGAAGGCCAGGAAATGGAGAAAATGAGTGAAAGCACAGAGAAGGTAGCGACCTGCCTAGGTGAGGAGTCGGGGCCCTGCAGCCCAACCTCCCAGCACAAGCCGGTGGCACAGGGTGGTCCTAGAATCTCCAATGTAGCTGCGGATCAGGAAGAGGACGAGTCCAGTGCATCAGGTGAAGGGGAAGAATGTTCTGAGGATGAGGGACATGCTGAGTTGGTGGAGGTCAGTGATGAAGATAGTAAAGAAGCAAAGAGTCTTATAGTTGAGCCAATCATGTCAACTGGAGGTGAGAAACACAAGGAAGATGAAGAAGAGGAAGAAGAAGATGATGATCATGATGAGGGTGATGATGAAATGGATGCAGAAGTGGTTTCAGAGACCCAGGATCATGAATGTCTAGTCGAGGTTGAGAGGCTGAATACACATCAGCAGCCTGGGGCCAATATCCAGGCAGTTGTTGGTTTGGACTCAGAAAGAGACGGTGGGCCTAGCTCAGATGAGGTTGTTCAGGTGTCCAGCCAAGGAGATGGGGACTATGTCCCGCCTTCAAAAGACAGCTTGTCCATGACAGACCAGGTGGAGCCTGAACAATTAATGCCCAGCACTGAAGAACCTAGCCAAGATACCATAAACCTGTCTTCCAGAGCTAGCATTAGCCTACAGCACAGTGAGGAGGAAAACAGTGCCAAAGAGGATTCTGGGAAGCATCCAGTCCGGTTTACTATTGCTCCAGCATGGCAGAGGTCACTATCAGGAGATGGCTTCAAAGAAGCTTATTGCCATGCCCACTCCATCACTGCAAAGGCTTCTGAGGCATGTGCTGAAATCAGACCTGAGCCAGGTACCCCCCTAAAGGCAGATATCAGCCATGGCCACAGCGATGCATCTCCGTCTCCTGTGAGAGACCAGGACGTGGGCGCACCTGAGACACCGTTTGGTGTTCGGCTGAGGAAGACTTCTCTTAGGAGCTTCTGCTATGGCACAGAGGACTCAGGAGAACCTCCTGGAACGGCTAGTGAACCACCAAGAGCCGCCTGCCCTGAGATGCCCTGCAGCAAGCCTGTCCTGCCCAGGAAACCTGAGCTTCTGGAGGACGACGTAGCCAAGTTCAGGAGGACAGCAGGTATGAAACCTCTGTAGCTGGCCTTCTCATCGCTAATCTCACTTTTTAAAAAACACTATCACAGACCACTTAGGTTGGAGTCCTCATGATGATGTGCAATAAATGTGCAGTGCGCTCACAGCAGAACCAGAAACCTAGTGCACCTTCTGTTCCCTCGGGCAGGATTATGGACTCAAGGTTGCAGATCCATTTAAATTTCCTCATGAGCTTTTCACCAGCACAGGGTACAAGGGAAGGCGTACTGTGTAATATAACCGCATGAAAAGTTAAGGAAATTACCCATCCAAATACACATGTGATAGAAAGCATTCTGATATGTAAGATAAAGCTTTATTGATTGCATGAAATTCTTGAAAATATGGATTTAAAGTTTTATATTATCTATCCATTGATCTATCCACCCAACCGCTTCTCCAGATGGAATTTCAGCCCATTGCAGGGCACACACTCATAGTCATGCGTATTATGGGAGGTTTAGAGATGCCAGTTAGCAAAATTTGAACAGTTTAACACCCAATATTCTGCAGTTAATTGCATCCAGATGCACCTGTCCTTATAACTGAGTGCTTGCTCAGGGTGTTTAGCTTATCGGCAGCTGAAGCAAAGATCTAGTATATAACAAGTAGATGGCAAGAAGTAGGATGGTGCTCAGAAGGTTAGGACTCTTCCTGTGATGGGTAGGTTACCGGTTCGAATCCCAAGGTCAGCAAAGTGACTTTGGGGTTGGGCTCGTCAGCAGGGCCCATAACCCAGGGACTGGCTGACCCGGCTTCCTCAGCCGAACGTTGCTTTGGACAAAAGAGTCTGTCAATGAAATCACATGTAAATGATGTAGCAATCTGTATGCTTGTTTGCGTAGTTTCAGAGGGAAACCCCTTGCAGTTTAGAGCACGGTTCTGATTTTCCTTCCGGCACAGTGAGACATAGACGCTCTGGAAACCACGCAGTCATGCTCTGTAGACTGTAGTGCATGTTTCAGGGGGCTGTGCTGAGGTCAGTCCAGCAGAGTGACCTGTAATGAAACCTGAGGTGCCCTTCACTGAAGGCCATGGCAAACACAACGTTAACATAAACACACTTACATCACTGTGCTGGTAGGACAGAAAATGTGTGTGTGTGTGTGTGTGTGTGTGTGTAGAGGAATTGTTATATATAATATATATTTCATATGATATTATATATTCTATATTATAATAAAGTATGATTTGCTTTGTTTGTCCATTATTTACTTGTAAGACCCAAGACTCCCTCCCCCCTGCAGTTCTGTGTTTATGCTTGCAGTGTTAAGGCCTGACTCATTTTTGCGAAGCCTCCCCCAGTTTCCCACAGTCCTCCATTTGTCAGAGGGGCGATAAGAATGTCTGATGCACTCATGTGTTTTTCAGAGCCGGGTGCCGGTCAGTCTCCTGGGGGGAGCATGGCTTCACCAAGCTGGGTCTATGTTGCCAAGCAAAAGCAGAGGATCTTCAGAGAGAATTCACTGGAGGAAAGTCCAAGCAGGAAAGACCCTTTTGAGAAGGTGAGCTCTGTGTCCCTGCTGACACAGGCTAGTGCTGGTCCTATTGAAATAAGCTTCTCGATCTTCCTCCCCATGACAGGGCCACCAATTACACTGTGAAGTGGTGAAATCCTTCCCCTGTCTTCCTTATCTAATCGTTACAAAAGCCACTGTAATCCTATAATCTCATTGGTTCGTAGCAGACTCTACGTCTGGAAGGCCTGAGGTAACAGTCTCTTTAACCTCCTATTACACAATCGCCCTTGATTTGGCACAATAGCGACACCTGTTGACCACACGTCAAGATGACAAAAATCAAGACTGTTCTCTTGAGTAGCATTGAGAAGGGCCCAGTTAATCAGCTTGTGGTCTCTCCTAAATAAGCCTATATGGAGATTCCATATACCTACATACATAACAAACATGAGCAAACACAAGCCATGAACCAGGGTAAACGCGTGCTTAGCCTGTGTTGGATGTGGACAGAAATGTAGCATATTCAAATCTGAATTGTGTGATTTTAATTATGTATTTATTTTAACTTTTCTGTCATTGGTTTATTTTTCAAAATACATTTTCCAGGATGCAGCATGCAGGAAAAACTTGAGTGTTTCTTCTAAATCGACTAGTAAGGACCAGGCCAGGATTTCAAACCCAAATGCAACTGGTAAGTAGTTCTCTGTTCAGCCTGTGCTGATCTGTAAAACCCCTGTTTTAATGTAACCTCCAGAGAATTCCTGCTGTCGACTGTGCAGTAAGTGATGCATTACTGCCCCCTTGTGGACTAAAGTCTGCATTCATGGGGCTCTGTATTGTGATAAAGTTTCCTCTCTCCAATCAAGGAGGAAGGGCTTATTTATTTTTTCACACTCACAGGTCTTCCTCCCACTGCCCCATGCTCCCTGGAGATTTCTAACCCTGCGTCTTCGGACAAAGACGGGAAGCGGGCCATGATGTCGGCATCCCCCGCAGCCCTGGGCCCGGAGGAGCCCCCCTGGTTGGCGCTGGCCAAGAAGAAGGCTAAGGCCTGGAGCGAGATGCCCCAGATGGTGCAGTGACTGAGCGGCGGGGGCCATCCGCCCCGCCCCCCTCCCCCAACTTTTCCTGTGAAAAGACACGGATCACGTTTGCACGCAAAGCGCCGTTACGTGTTTCAACATTCACTCTTCATTGGTGACACCTTTTGGGTTGTAGGTCTGAGATGAGCTTTTAAAAACAAATATATATTACCACTTCTGCTGTGAAATCCCCCCCCCCATTTCCAAATTATGTTCTGTACATGTACTCCATGTACACCATGCCAAACGTCCTCCAAAGACCAGCCTTACACCCACATCCAGGAGCTGGGTGGAGTCCTTCAATGGGTTTTGTATTTATTTCTATTTTTATACCCCCCCCCCTTTTTTTGGGGTTTGTATTGAGTTTGCTATTGCCTTTAAAAATGCACACATCATCATGTGATTTTGTATATAAATTATCAAGAAAAACAAAATGAAAAAATGCAGAATTCACATGATTTTCTTTAAACCAATTTATTATGCTGGGATAAACGCACATTATATTGTGCAGTTACGTTTTCTTCCTGAAGGGGGGTTATAACTGTGTCCAAATACTTATGTAACCTATACTTTCATTTCTTTTTTAAAGTTCCCGCATTTTCACTGAGAACTCCTTATTATGACTGATTACACATTATTTTTACAAGCGTTTCGTAATATTTTTTCTGGAGTATCTTTACTGATGTTTTTGAAGAAATTATAAGCACTTTTCAGCTGTTTAATCCATTGTTTAGAGGATTTTACACTGGGAAGTTTTGCATTTCAAATGAGCTTTTTTTTCTTACAGATCTCAATTATATGAAAACATTGACAGCAGGGATTATTACATTGTTAATAAACTTTATATTACTACTCTATTGTGGTGATCTGACGCCTTTATGTGTGTTAAAAAAATCATATATTACATTCATAGAAAGCTGACAGGCTTACAGATATCTTAACAACTGATGAAATCATATTTTATATTTAAAAATCTCGTATGAGTTTTAGGGCACGTCCATAATAAGCGTAATATTCACAAAAGCACTACAGTATCAGTTGCAGTAACGAATACATTTCACTAGCGGGCGCTGTACTACATGCGCTTTTTATGGACTTAACCTAGTTTAATATTATGGCCGGTTTCTGTCCTGTCATCCTCAGCTGATCTCATGACGACGCGTAAAGGATTTGCTATTTTGAGAGATACACTTACATAAGGCTGCGTTTGCATTTTTCAGGAGCCACGTGTGAGGATTCGACTTGTACCATGATTAGCATCGATATTATAAATACATTGATTTTTATCTAGAGTTTACCTGAATATTAGTTTTTGAAACGCATATACTGTAATGGAAGACAGTAGGCTACCACTGGCAAGTAGCCTAACCGCGTGAATAAATGACACATGGTAATGGTTTTATAAGTATTTCTTATGTAGTAAAATGATTGTCTAAATTGCTACTTGAATAGCACCTATACTCCTCAGGACTGTAACATAAATAGCTTCGGTATAACCTATTATAACTTGCGATTATATGTCTAATGACACCTAAGTCCATGTTTAATAGGCTATTGGCCGGATGAAAAGTATATAAGAAAGGCGTACGATCAATGAAGTGTATAGACAGGTAAATATGAATGGGTTTAACCTGTCACCTGTCAGATGCTTTAATGAGCTCATTAGAAATAACTTTTAAATAGACGAAAATGGGTTTAGCCGGAAGTCGGCCAGCTCCGCTTGCTTTCCCAATTATACCTGTCAACTGAGTGTCTAAGTTCAGATTGGTGACTAATACTACAGTAAAATCCCGCATGGAGCTGCATACAAATGTGTCTTCACCGGTTAACTCTATATTCACAAATTATGGGCTTAATCCGTTGGTCAGAGAAACGTGCCCTAATTAATCAATTTATTAACCACTTTCAGGTGTCCTAAATTATAGTCAGTTGTACTTACGCAATGTCGCAGGTTATTTTATTTATATGAAAAATTGATGGGGGTTTTTTTACATGAAAATGCACTTACACTGAATGATCCACCTTAATCTATCTTTATTGGCGATTTGACCGAGACAATTGCTCTTAACCAGAAGCATCACTAGGGATTTATGAAAGGGGGTGGGGCGGGCGGGGGGGGTTGGTGGAAAAAGCTTAATAAAAACGAATGAGAATACACTAAACTAATCAACGTACATTTATTTTGGCGCCCCCCAAGACAGCTCTAGCGACGCCCGTGCTCCCATTTATCACTGAAGTTTGAAAATGTTTAAGTAACTGTAATTATGTGAAAATTACCTACGATCAGAAAACAGGTTGGAAGAAAAACTTGAATATATGGGTCACAGTGACCTCTTAAATGGCCGGTTTAAGAGTGACCCGTAACGAAGGTAAAAACACACCGTTGCTCCCTCTCGGTGAAGTACTGCGTGTCCTTCAAACAGGAAGGAACAGCGAGTGCCAGCTCCGCATTACCGTCTGACAGCCCGCCGCCTCCCAGGGAGGGACATCAGAGTGACGCCGCGCACCTGTAAATACTGCAGCCCGATGGGGGCGCGTCCTAAGCCCATCCGCGCGTCCCGGGAGACGGGTGAGCGCTCCGTGCCGGGAACGCGCTCCGGGTTACGCAACCGCGTGACTCACGCGCTGGCCTGCCCGCGCCTGCTAAATGAGGTGTCCGCGAGCGCGTCGAGGGGGCACAGTTACATAAATAAATGATATCCGTCGACGAAGGATGCGTGCCCGCGGCTCGGTTCGGCACTGCCGTAGATGTTATTACGGTATAACAAGTGTGGCGGTTTATAGATCACAGCTCCCAGTCTCCTCCTGGACATCTATCCCTGTATGTACAGTAAGGCACAGGTTGGTTTCATGTGAGACCCCACTCAAAAAGTCATTTCTGGGGCCCCCTGCCTTAGTGTAGTGACTGTTTGTGGCCATCAGGGGGCCCCCAAGCCCTGTAGGGCCCTATACAAATGTGTGGTTTTAGTGGTGGTAAAGACGACATCAGACAGGGGTACTCATTACTCATATCAGCTCATCGCTTGATAAACCTGTTAAGGCAGTATTGCGGATAACTATTAACATACCTGTAAATAAACTTCCTTAATCTCCACACAGCCCTACCCAACATGGTGCATTTACAGATAATTATGTAAAGGCAGCTAGACTGTTACTTGTTTGGTTAACTGATTAGAGCAGAACTTCACTAGAGCTGGGTCCATGGTTGACAAACACTGCATCTGGGATTTGGGATCCACAATCTGTAAGCTCAAGTCCAGATCTTCAGTCACACTCCATCTGGAGCATCTTTTTCCTGTTTCACAGTGTTTTACCACCTGTCTCCACAGGTCGCTCACACCCATCACTTATTTAGTTTTTGCAGGGGGAGCATCTCTGCTGTTTTCACAGTAAGCTGACATTTAATCCCTTAGGAGCATGATGTAAAGATTCCCATTGGCCTCTGTGGCAGCATGTCTTTAATAATTTCTGTTCTTACAAAACAAGCTGTTTCCTGCACCAAAAGCTTTTAATAAGCAGCCAAAAGCAAATTGACCAATCAAGCCCTTGCCTAACTAGTAAAAAGCTGTCCTATAGTAGCCATGAGATGAGGGATGGGGTAGAATCTCCTATTAATGGAAATGCAAGTTGATTTTTATTGGGTGGGAATGTGCATCACGCAGCACAGGAAATATATCTGAGACCAGCAAGAAGGTGCCAGCAGTGGCTGCCTCTGGCCGGGGGAATGCGTTTCGTGTAATAGGGATGGCATTTCCTGCATTTCAACCATACTACACAACATGAGGAATGCTCTTGACCTGCTCCAATTCATCTCCCACAAAGTGTCCCCCCCACACCCTGCTCAGACCCCTAAAAAAAAACAAGGTCTATTTATAGCATCAGCTTGAAGGTTAGCAGGGATGTGGAGGCAGGCAGCGGGGAGACGCCTCTCTGCGGGGTCCTCGTGCTGCGCGGCCTGTTAGCACATCGCTCCTGCCGTTTCTGGGTGAGTTAGGTAACCACCTCCCAAAATGCACTGCTCTGGCCTACTTATGCTAGCGTGTTACGTTTTCATACTGGCGGAGTAGGTGTATCTGCCAGGTCTCCATGGCAACCCCCGCCTCTAGTGACCTTATCTTTGTGGTTATGCAACCCTGCTTGGCTGGAGGAATGAGAGATGTTCTGTGTGGGTGGGGCGACTGGCCCAGGAGCTGTTACATGATATGATTTCAGGCAGATGCTGAGGGGAGCCAGCCTCTGCTGGTGGCAACCCGGGCCCCAGGGCTGCCTGTTGCATCAATAATAAAGTTGGTGCTTAAATTGCCGCGCGGCACAGGTGGCAGACCCCCCACACACACACTCACCTCCCCCCCGTCTGCGCCGTGAACCACTCTTCCAGAAGAGGTGCTGAACTCAGCATCTCGGAAGCAGCCCAGCGGCTCTGAGGTCACCGAGAGGACTTCAGTCCCATGTCCACTGCAGAGGACACCAGTGCCTCATTTGATGAAAAACATGCTGACTGGGACAGAGCAGTGAAAGCCACAGGGGGGGGGCTGCCTTTTGTAAGTCACCTCTTGGATGCTCATTCGATACACCGGTGGAGGCTAGCCCACTTTGGAACTTTATGCAACGTCCGAATTCGCCCTCCTTACATAAGTGTTATGAAACCACCCCCCACCCCCGGGGTCAGGGACACATGGGGATCAAGATCGCTGGAGTCTTCCAAAGAAGGCAGGCCAGCGGTGTAAGAATGTAGGCCACTGGGGCGGGCAGTGTGGGAGCAGCAGGCTGACACGCCTTCAGCCTGACCTACATTAGCAGGCCGGCCCTGTGTCACACCACTGCACCCTCTGTCCCCGTACTTGTTTGCTCCCCCCTTCACAGCTCCCCTGCCAAGCCCGATCCTCAGCCTGCCCTGTTGGATAGCCAGAGATCTCAAAACGAAGTCTGATTTTTTCCACAGTGAATTTGGGACTTGTTACAGGAGTAGTGTGGCTCAGTGGGTTAAGACACTGTATGGGATCAGAAGGTCATCGGTTCAAATCCCAGGCTCCCTTCGCTCCAGGGACTGTCTAACCCTGTTTTCTCAAAAGTATATCACTCTGAAGCGTCTAACCAGAAACATTAATGGTTCTGGAAAAGGTTTAACCACTGAATTCTTCTGTTTGGTTTTGAGTATGACTCAGTCCAGTTCTGAGGAGTTAATGAAAAATCAGTCTGGAGCGACAGAACGAACACTTTATTTTAGTGTAATATGTACAGCATGTAACGCAGCACTGGCTAAACGACAGAGAGAAGTAACATACATTCAGGTCGCTGTAAACAGATGTACAGAGAGGCAACTTCACACAACAATGACAGTAAGAAATTAGAGTCACTACTGTATAAATACAAACACCCAAAATCAATTTTTTTTTTTTTTTTAAGCATTTTTCAGTGGAAGAACGAAATTCAGCTGTCAAGGAGGTAGGTCAACGTAGATACTAGTGCAGGATAACCAGATGGATCCAGAAAAGTCAGGAGAAGGTTTCACAGGTCAGCTCAGCAGACCGACGGACGGCAGAGAAGCTTGTGCTCCTATAAATTCCAGAGCTCCTTCACAGCTCTCCCCAGCTTTTGGGTCTGGGACTCCTGACTTTTCTGACTCCAGTAACAGAACCTGCAGCAAATGTAACATCAGACCCAATTTAACAAAAGTTTAACTATTGCTTTTTTTAAACTGAAATTAGGTTACATTTGGGCTCTCCATTGGTGAAAGGAGAACATCCACGATAAGTAGAACCAGAATAGATATGGTACTATTAGGGATTGAGTTTCATAATCCGTACGACATAAGTGCATTTTATATCGTTAAATTGGGTCTCATCTCTGAAAGCAAAAAAAAATAAAAAAATCATTAAGACAAAAGTCATTCCCTATGAACTGTGGAGATGCTACTTTCTGCAGTTATTGCCTGGTGTGAGCATCATGGAAGAAATTCAGCTTAAGGCACAAGATATTCACAGAGCGAGAAACGGTGACCAGAACAGGGTGTTCCTGGTGGAAATCAAACTCCATTTAGCCACCGGAGAGGCATCAAACACAGTCAAACTGTTTAGAGGGAAACTCCCTGTCTGTACCAAGGGTAGGGCAGGGTCAGTGTGTTACACTGCGGTACAGAAACAAAACCACACGACCCCTTCGGAAGCTTCAAACCTAAGCCCATATATGCCCCTCCAAAAAAAGAAAACAGTTGGGGTTGGGAGGGAGGGGTGCAAGCTCTCTGGTTTTACTGGAAAATCAGGAACGCCAGATGCCAGAAGGTCAGGGAGAGCAGCGGGTCAGTGAGCCGATTCACAGCTGATGGGGAGGGCAAGAGCTCTCCCTGGACAAACAGAACCAAACCCCGGTCCCGCCTGTACCCGCCCCACCGAGACCCGGTCCGTCCCTTTTTGGCTACTGTGCATGAACAAACCAATGTGGGTTCTGGGCCTCGGAGAGCAGTGGCGTGGATCACACTGTGGGGGATGGGGGCCACGCAGGACAGCCACAGCGATGAGACCCTAGACATGCTGATATGTGGGATTAAAAGTTAACTTCAAAATGGCCGCAAACTATGCCAGCATAATGCAGGGCCATGATAACATATGCCGGAACATTCTGGAAGAAACGGGAGGGTTCTGGCAAAAAAAGCAGAGGCATATAATAAAGTGAAAGCGGAGGCCCCTCATCTGCACACGAGCATTAGGGTGCGGCTACTCTTTACTTGAGGCTGTCACTGTTCTTCCTGCCTTTGAAGCCCTTGCCATCATTCCCTTATGAAAAGTTCACGTAGATCGCGAGAAAGCACATTTTTAAACAGATCTCACTTCTGTTTGTGAGTGGCTGGGGCTTCAGGCCAGGTGACACTGCCCAACCCGGCTCCTAAGCGCTTCAGTACTATAGGCCCGAGAATGTCTGCATGCCTTTCACATGCAACTGCGGACACTTCAGTGGCAGCAGAAAGAGGGGGAGGGACATTTACATCACTTCCTCCTTTTGCAGGAAGGGATATGGGCAGCCACAGGGCCACAGAGTATATGATGCATATTTAAGGGCTGCCACACAGCAATCAGACACAGAATTAGTCATTCAACTGAAGAAAACGACAGACAAAACAGATTTTAAAAAAATGTGTGTCCTTTTTAAAGCACGTAGGTTGAAAAACACAGTCTATAGCGAGTAAAATCCATGTGGAGGCCTTCTCCCAAACAGCGATAGGCTGATACAGTATAGATGGTCGGCCAATGGTAGCTACACACAGAACGCTGTCCGATTTGGTCCGATGAGGAGGCAGGAAGCAGCCGTCCTGCCGGGTCATCGCGAGCGATCTCGGGACATGAAGAGGAGGACCCTGCGGATGCCGGTCAGCCGCTCCTTCAGGGAGGTGAGGGCCAGGAAAGGCAGCTGGGCGCGGCCTTCCAGCGGCAGAACGGCTAGCAGCCACCAGCACCAGGACGGTCCATTGGGACTCCCCTGGAAGAGCAGGTGTCAGCGGTGAGACAGCTGGTTTCACCTCTCATCTCTCTATAGCACCCCCTACTGCCTGCAAGGTGCCTTACAGAACTGAGGGTAGAACTGGGCAAGTGTTACGTTACTACGGATGAGAGCACGTGTGTGTGTGGTGGGGCATATTACCCACGCTCTCTTCAGGGACATTTTCACCCATCATGAACAGACATCCAGTTACAGAAAAAGTGTGGGAGACTCCCCTACACGCCAGGCCTACCTGGAGATCCGAGTCCTTCTCGGGCATGAGTCCGAAGTGGCCCACGATCCTCTCCTTCTGCTCCGGCTTCAGGGAGTTGACCCAGACCAGGGCCTGGTCGTAGACGGCGTCGTGGAGCTTCCGCAGTTCGGCCTCAGCCTCTCCCTCCACCTGCCGGACACAAACCTCAGTTACCAAGGCAACACATAGCTGGCAAACCTCGCCATGAATATGCAAAGCTTTCATCCTGAGGCGGGGCATCTCGATCGCCACCGCACCCTGCCGGCACAGAGGTCGAGGCCAGCAGGCACCGCCCACCTTCCTGTCCTCGAGGTACTCGATGTCGGCCGTGTTGTAGCCATCTCTCTCCCGGTGCTGGACGACCTTGAACCTCCTCCGCCCGATCGTGTCCACCACCGAACGCCCATCGGCGAAGAAATCCACACTGCGGATCTCTAGGATGCAGCCATAATCGGCAAATCTGGAAGGTGGGAGGGAAAGTTAAAAGAGTAGCAAATAATAATGAAACTTGCTTATTCTTACATAACCTGTTAATTTAGCCGATACCTGGCCATTTGGAGCGATTAAAGCCACGTTTTCACACACTTGCACACTCACTTACCCAAAAAGCGCCATCCTGTGCACTTAAACTGCCCATTTTCCCACAATGCCTTTCAAACTCGCCATTTGCCACAGGATACAATCTACTCTGATGTCAGCTCTACACCGAACTTACATTTGAACAGAGACAGAATCAAAGTGTGCGGGACTTTCCCCGGGGCCGCTTACCCTTTGAGGGAGTCGCTGAGGCACATGCCGAACTGCTTGGTCCCCGTCTCCATGCACCTGCGGATCATGAGCCGGTAGCAGGGCTCGAAGATGTGCAGGGGGCAGGGCACCGTGGGGAAGGCCATGGTACACACGAATATAGGCACATTCTTGTTCAAGCTGTAATGAGACAACAGGGCACACCCTAGTGTCCGTTATTTGGCTTCATCAACCGCCTCAGGCATGCGGCTCGTACAGGACACCCCTTCACTTAAACATCTCAGGAGGGCACCTCTGGCCTGCAGGAAGTTAGCTCATGAAAGCTTTATTAGAGCACACAAGCAAGGCAGTACTATGCTGTCTGAAACAACTTAATATTGGCTACCTGGGCCCTGACTTATGATTTGCTGACTGGATTGGGCCCTGACTTATGATTGGCTAGTCGGGCTGGGCCCTTACTTGGACAGCTCAGCCATTTCCTCCTCATTGGCTCTCTGCCTGTCGATCAGCTCCTCCGGCAAGTATTTCGCAATGAGGCCCTCCATCAGCACAGTCTTGCAGTACTGCCTCCGTGCCAAGTACTGTGGATGTCAGAAAAAAAACCATAAGAGTCAAGGGCTCAGACCCAGGTCCACAGTCTGTAGCGGGCAGCCGCTAACGTAAGCCGTGCGGAGCTCACCTCGGACAGGTCTTCCTTACAGAGGGGACATTGGGAGTTGTGGTCCAGGCATCGCTCCAGGCATTTCAGGCAGAAGGTGTGACCACATGGAGTGGTGACGGGTTCGTAGAAAAGTCTAGAATATGGGTGCGAGAGAAGAGTATATCATGCTTCACCCACACCACCAAGAAACGAAGGGGGAATTAAGAACCTCCCAAAAATAATCACCCGTGAATAGAAATGCTGACTGACTGGGGGCTTTGGGAAATAAAAATCCCTGTGTCACTTATTTGTTGAACCCGGTGTTCCCTCTTTATGCCCTTGGGCTCAGAGGTAAGAAACAGGAACCCAGAGCAGCCTCCCGGGAGACCCAGGTTACAAGAGGACTCAGCGTGCGTCATGATCTCTGAATACGCCTCTGAATCACTGGGTTCGGCACCCGGCTGGAATTTAAACACCGGAGTGCTTCCTTAATGAACATGCGCCACAGTGTGTTGACCAGGAAAGGCTATCTGGATATGGTGCAGGCCATGTCATGTGACCGGAGACACACAGCCATGACTAAATGTTATTGCCACAGTGGGACTGAAGCATACCTCATACACAAGGGGCACTCGAGGTCAGCGACATCAACGGTGCCAGCCACACTGGTGAGGTCAGGGGCCTGGGGGGACACATCCGCATCTTGCAGGGCCCCTACTGCAAACAGAAAGACAGGGTTAGGCGTTGAGCCACTCACACCCCGGTGTGAGGATGCACTAAACAGCAGGTTAGGATATGAACACCCACACCCGGGGGGTTGTAGGTTAGAATCCCATGGATGGCAAACTAATCACATCACCACTTGGCCCTTGACCTCAAAAACAGATGCTAACTGACCCTGTACTCGGCTCTATCACTCGTCATGTTTCATATGTTAGGGCGGCGTTTGCCAATCTGATCCTTGGGGACCCACAGACAGCTCACGTCTGGATCGGGAAATACTGTTTTAAGGTATGAAATACTGCACTACTTTCAGAGCTGTATAGTCAGTCACTCATGCTGTGTGCCCCCCCAGGCTTACCTGACTTCTGCCGTTTGCTAGGCCACTCGTGCCTCCCCACACCCTCCTCTTCCTCTGAGCCACGCTTGTGCTTCTGATGGAGTCTCTGGCTGGGGGCAACAGGATGCTGGCTGCCAGGCTGGCTGGGGTCCCCACTTTCACCCCCATGACCCCCAGCGCTGGACGGCACCTCAGCTGGGCAGCCCTTCTTGTGGTTCTAAAGAGAAGTCCAAATGGGAGCCATTAGTAACAAATTAATCTTCCGACACCGCTGCTGTCGTTTATATCCAACAGCTGACGTGCAGAACCCCCTCCCTGGCGGAGGTGCAGGTCCCTCCCCTCCCAGCGTGGCAAGAGGAGGCGCCCACAGACCCTGACCTTGCAGGAGTGCAGGAGGCCGCAGCAGGTGCAGGGACCGGAGGCCCGGAAGGCACCCCCCTTCATCCCAGTCCTGGGCGCCAGCAGGCTGCTGCAGTTCGGAATCCCCTCCTGGACCCGATCAGGCAGCGGGGCCAACAGTTCACTCAGCAACTGGACGGAACAGAGGCGCTGTTTCAGCCTGGGGGAATACAAGCTGGGAACCCCAATTCTACAGGAGCGAGTGATGGTGGGACAGGGTGGGCTGGAGCACCACCCGCACCAAGAAATACACCCTGATGTGGGGCTGATGCTCACCTTCAGCGCTCCGGACCTGGCCGGCTTGCTCTCCGGCTCCAGAGCGATGCAGAAAAGGTATTCACTAAGTGCCTCTTCAGGCTGCCTCAAGCTGCTCAGAGCCTGTGCCTTCCTGAGATGCCCCTAGGGAGCACAAAGGAGTATATAAATGTTGCAGCCTTGAAACAGTTTCTGGGAAATGTTCGTACAGCCTCGATTACAAAACACCAAGTATGCACTAAAGTGCTCACTGACAACTGAGAGGGAACTCCCCCACACACTATTCCTTAAGGTCTACAATCTTCGCGGGATCGTCACCTTGGCCCAGCCAGGTTGCAGTCTGCAGGCTGCCTCTGCGTCGCGCAGTGCGGCTTGCAAGTTCCTCAGACTGGAGTTTATCAGTGAGCGGTTACTGAACAGCACGTGGTCCCCCGGAGCTGCAAAACACGTTACACAACCGAGCATGTCAGGCGTTACACAACATGGGCTGTTTACACACACACAGTGGTTACACACCCACACCTCCACCTGCTTCACCATCTGAGGCGTTCTGACTGGGTCTTTATTCCGGTTGGCTCATTTCAAAACACGCAAAACGGTACAACGATCGAATCGACCGCCGATCGAATTTATGGGCGGGAATTAATATGGGTGATTAAGCAGTCAAAATAAGCACCGCTGCTCTGCCGGTACACGTGGGGACAAACGGGCTGTATATGGATTCGATGATAATGAAAGCGCAGTCTATTGATATAGACATCCTAACTCGAGTTTACAGGAAACATTGCTGCACTGAGTCCAGGACACATGCCGGCGATTACCAACATTCACAACGACGATGATAATAATACTAATAATAATAGTAATAATAATAATAATAATAATAATAATAATAAATTAATCTTAATAATAATCGGACGGCAGTACCACCAGGAGCACACCGAAGCAGGTCCTGCTGAACTTCCCTGTCACTGACCCACATACCTCACTTTCATTACCCCTTACACAATTATACGGATATAGCGGGTTACACAACAACTGCCATCGCCCAGCTGCACCTCGACACCCTTCGGCGTGCCCGGCCCGAACAGAACCGGCCCCATTGCGTCACTTTACACGGATCACCGGCCCCGGAACGAACCGGTAGCCCTACAGTGTCAATTCACAGAATGACAGGCTCCGGGCAGCACACTATTACCTAATCGTATCGCTTGATCGTACTTCTCCAAGGCGGCCTCCAGCCGCCTCTCAGCGTACAGCGCATCGCCTTCGTGCCGTAGGCGCACTGCCAGCTGCCGGCTCGGGAAGCACTTGGCTAGCAGGCTGCTGAGCACCACGTTGACCCGGTAGCCGCGCACGTCGGACAGGCGGGAGGCGTCACCGCATTCCCCGCAGCGCGCTAGCCGCCGCTCCCTGTGCAGGCAGCGCTTGCAGAATGAGTGTCCGCAGAGCAGCGTGACCGGCTCCGACAGGATGCCCAGGCACAGGGAGCAAGCGAAGCATCCCGCCGCCTTCCGCCTCGCACGTCCCCAGGCACTCTCCGTCCTCCGGATGCCGCCCAAGCAGTCGAGCAGTGTCTCCAGCTGCGCCGGCCGCAACCTCTCCAGCCTGGCGGCTCGCCTGTAGAGTTGAAACGCTTCGGCCAGGCGGCCCCCAAGCGCCAACGCGTCCGCCCGCCTCAGCGCCATCTCCCGCTGGCTGTCCGGCTCGCCGGAGAGCCGCAGCTGGCCGCCGTACATCTCTGCGGCCAGCTCGAAGTTCCCGGAGCTGAAGGCTTCGGCCGCAAGCTCCAGCATGACCGTGCTCTCGGTGCCCATGTCCGATAAGCGGTTCCTCAAGGGTGCCGGCTGGAGAGCGGTTCGCTGCCCCGCGTCGCCTTCATCCCCCTCCGCTCCACTCCTCTCTCCTCCGGCCGTCTCCGCGGCGCAGCCATAGCTCGGCGGTTCCGAGCCAGAGTTACATAAAGAGCGTCACGTGAGCACTAGGACCGCGCTCATTGGACAGCTCTCGATAAGGGTTACATAAAGTGCGTCACGTGATCACCAGTAGCTGTGTTCATTGGATGGCTCCAGAAAAAGTGTTACAAAACAAAACGCGTTTGAAACATCGGCTAGCGCCGGCTGGCCCGAGGCGGCCGCGCCAGACAGCCTATATTTCACAGCATCCTTTAATATCTGCCAGGCAGGGTACGCGCTGTTCTTACACAAATCCCCAGAAGGTACACACACGTGGAGCTTAAACACAAACGCAATAGACGCGTGATTACGCTACCGATGCATCACCCGGAGTTTACATCATTCACTTACACCGATACCCAGTCGTGTGTTCGGGTCTGCATCGGTATCGCCATGACTTTTAGTGCAAAACGTTGTACTGCTTGATTCAATCGTCCCAAGCCGTGCCACATGTAGGTCACCTTGTGTGTTTGTCATGGTCCCAATCCCGCTTTCAGACAGGATTCCGGTCCTCCCTATAACTTGGGGAAAGTGGGCCAGTGCGGCCAGCCTGTCTGGACCTGATAAGGTTTATTGTGGACTGGGTCATGCGTCAACTAGCTAATTACGTACAGCCCGTTATGCCGGTCTTTAAAAACTGCGTAACTAGACGACGTGTGAATCCGACTTAACCCCACAGATAACATCTGCTAGACACAGCGTGCCATCATAGGAACGTGTCTGCCAGGCACCTATAAGCAACAAAGCGGAATCCTCTGTAATGCATTCCAGCGATAAGACAAAGAAATACAGAAACGAATCATTTCAAGTCAAGTATATTTAGTTAAAAGATTTTCAAAAATTACAGTATAAAAGGTGTAAAATTATCACGATTACAGTAGAGGGCTACAGGTTTTCTTTGAAGAGATTTTACTGAACATCATATCACTTAATTACAAATTAATTACAAACCACTTAAATTACTAGTGCTGCCAGAGTGAATATCATAATTTAATCAACGGAGCTGTATGGCACCAGTCAAACTGGATATTATAAAATAACTGCACAGTGCCCCCAGTGACCTGTACGAAACAGACGATGTAATACCGCACAGATTCCTATAGCAGTAACACCAGTAGGCTATGTTAAGGGGGGTAGGAAAATGCTTTAAAAAAAATTCTGCTGACGACTACAGATGTCTGCACCCCACCGACCACCCCCTGTATATGAAGCCTAGGAAATATTACATATGTTGATAATTAAAACTGAATTCAATTCAAGCAAGTAACCATCTTTTAGCCTCACAGATCCCAGCTGTAAATCAGCGAATCACACTCAACATGTGCTCTATGTTTAGTTAGAAGGAGCAGTATCATCCTTGCGCCCAGTTCGACTTAATTTCTGCCAAAAACTGCCTAAATATGAGAGGGCTAATATGGTGATTTATTAGTTAAGAAAGGGGGGCATGGTCCGCCAGACAGAGCCAAACATCACTGGGAGGTTAGTCCTGGATCTTCAGAATACTCCTCTTCTCCAGGTCGTTCATTTCCTTCAGAATGAGGGCAACATTGTAGCGCAGGTCTTGGAACTTGGAAATGGGCACCTGGGAGGAGGTGAAAACAGTCTTTGATTTGGAAAAGACAGGACCTCACCATCCTTGCCAAAGGGACCCATCGGCATTCCTGATTAATCTCATAAAGGGTTTCATGAGTCAAAACACAAAATCACATGTGCAGGAGGTAGAACCTAAATGTATAGGAGGTCAGGGCTGGACCAACAGGACAACAGCAGTGTAATACAGGGCAAGACAGCACAAGACAAAGCAGTGCACTGAGAATGAATAACAGTAAGTAATAAATGTGCAATGGGGACAAGGAATCAAATAGATCAACAGATAGTAAAACACGTAATGAATAATAAAGACAAAAAGATCAGAGTGTCATCGATATAAAAGACAGGTTCGGTGACTCAAAGGTGTTGCTCGAGTTCTCAAGAGAACCGGGGTCTGTCTGTCTACTTAACCTGAACCTCTTTACCAGAAAACATCGAGCTCTATAAATAGGTAATGTGTCAGTGAAGAAATACATGAGCAAACAGCCTATTCCCTGCAGGCTGCTTTTTTATGGACTCTTCCACACAGCATTTGCCGAACGTTCAAAAGCCAGACGCGGCACCAGCCGTGCGGCACGGAACTGCGGTGGAACTCTGGCCAGTCACCGCCACACCGGCGCCTCTGACAGAGACGTGCACTCATCTCCCCCCAATGCGCAGCAGTGCACATCAGAACATCAATATAAAGTGGGAAGAGATGGTGTGTGGCTCAGCAAGTTAGGATGCCATGCCTTTGATCAGTAGGTTGCTGGTTCTAATCCCAGGGTAGAGTGATGCAACTGCAGGGCCCCTCAGTAAGGCCCTTAACCCCCTACCACTCCAGGGACTGGCTGACCCTAATTTCTCAAATGCATTTGGGTTTGGATAAAAGCAACTATTAAATACTATGTAAAGCATGGTAGTGAACATAGCCGCAATGTATCATACTGATGTAGGCCAATAAAAGCTCTGGAACCAGCATCATTTGGGAATGGCCCAGTATGTGGCAGACCTCTAGCTACATGCCCCTGGAATGGCTGGTAAACTGGGCCACAATTTCTGGGGGCCACCCAGAAATCAGTGACACAGATTCTACGTGAATACATGGTGGAAGGATGAGATTTAGCTGAATCTCACATACAACAGTCATTTTATTAATGTCACAAGCGCATCTTTAGTCCAGTGAATCAGTTCTAATAAAAAAATCTGTCATCGTGATTTTCCATTTTTAGTTATTACAACTGAAGGTTTTGACATACACCCTTGTATTTTCCAACGCAACCCTGCAGGTTAGAAACGGCATGTTTGTGTGTATGTACAGCTCCTGACTGGTCCAAAAGGAAGCAGATGGCTTAATGTAGCATGATCGTGAAGTCAAACAAAGGAAAAACACTGAGGAAAAACACAGTGTCCTTCAAAACCCCTCTTAAAGGGGACACTCTGTCAGGCTGTCTTATCTGCTGGGGCTTTCAGCAGTTTACAGAAGTCAGTCCTGCCTCTCCTGAAAATCACGCACTCCATCTTTAGCTGTCTGCCTATACCTTCACAATGTTCACTTCCTGAAGCTCACATGACATAAGGTCATCAGAAGGCAAACAGCATCATCAGAAGGTTCCACAAACACACCGTTCACCGTAAATGTGTTCTGTACTCAGTTTGGTATAAGGTGGGTGGTGTGAGGCTCAACAGGTTAGGGTGCCATGCCTGTGATCGGAATGTTGTGGGTTCAAGTCCCAGGGTCGGCAGACTGATGTCACTACAGGGGCCCTGAGAGAGGCCCTTAACAACCAATTGCTCCAGGGACTGTCTGACCCTGATCTATCAATTGTATATCATTTTTTGCACATCTGCTATATAGATTACATTTTACATTTTAGATGTTAATTTTAAAAATGCCAAATCGAGATATAGAGAGTGTACCACATTTCATTTCACAATGATACTCCAGTTTTGGACCTGTGTCCAATCCCTTTTTTATTCGTTTCTCAGTTGAATTATATTTCAAGTTCAAGACAATCTACTTTAAAAAAGAAGCGTCTTTTCAAGTTCAATAAATGCATGATATTTCCAAAGTCAAAGGGTAATCATGTTAAATAATGTTGGTCTAAATCAGGGGTCACCAACTTTTTTGAAATTGAGAGCTACTTCACGGGTACTGAGCCATACGAAGGGCTACCAGATTGAAATGCCCTCCTAAACTTATCTAAACTTCATATATATTAAACATGTTTTAAATGCTTTCTTTAAAAAAGATATTGTCATTTTCAAATCTATATAAATGCAAATGTGATTAAAGAAGAATAGCAACAGGATAAAATTAAATTTTAGACGCTGCTCACTGGCGAGTTGTGCTATTTCTAGAACAGGTCCGCGGGTGACTTATGTGGTCCTTGGGGGCATCCTGGTGCCCGCGGGCACCATGTTGGTGACCCCTGGCCTACATACTGGATGATATTTTCCTTATTCAAGCAGCCCTACTCTGTGCTGTAATGGGGAGTGAGGGGATTAGAACCCTCAAAGCAGCACAGCTGCATCTTTACCTCAAACTGGTGGATCTTTCCATCTGAGAGCTTCATCCTCATCAAGATGGACGGCTGGAGAGCACGAACTAAGGAGCTTTTGGGATGGGAAAGGAGATGGGCGGGGGGAGGGGGGGTATGATGAGTAAAAGAGCTGTCGGTAAGAATGCAGTACAACTCACAATCAACAAGCAGGTACAGCCATGACCACAGATTTCAGAGCAGGTACAGGCAGTCGTTTGCCCCTTCCAGTCTCACTGCAATTAATTTCTGGTGATCCAGCACTGGAAGGACATGCTGGAGAATCATCATGAACACCAGCTGTGTCCAGGTACAGTGTGAGGAAGGGAGATCCGCGGTGCCTCTGGATTTTTGGGTTACTTTGTTAGCAACTAATTTACATCTGGAGTACCTAGTAAACTAATAACAGAGCCCGAAACAGCTTGGGTTCCCAGCACAGCACGGCGAAGGAGGACAGGTTTACCTCGTCGAAATGGCCACATCCACCCTCCACTGGAGGTCCTCGATGCTGGGCAGCCGCGGTTGTTGGTGTGTGTATGCAGCTTCCAGAGCCGCGCGTCTGGGGGAACAAACACAGCTTCTGGGTACTTTACTGACAAGGACCAGGGATAGTAGACAGCTACAGGAGATTGGGGGGGCGGGGGCTCTTTCAAGACGGCCAGGAAAGACAGACCTCTGGAAAATGATTAAAAACGATGCAGCACGTGAACCACAGTCAATTCAAAGGCAAGAGCCACAGAGAGTGAGAGGGGAAATAGTGGCCTTATGAGCCCTAGCGGTTAGATTCTTGTTCTGTCAATCAAGTCACTACCAATAGCTGCAAGTTGGTTGGACTAAGCAGTGATTGACAGCTTGCAATAAGCCCACCCATCAGAGATTTAAAAGCTCATTTGTCACTGCATATGTCTGCCAGAACACTCTTCTGCTGGCTGAAACTGTGGGCAAATTAAAGTGGGGCTTTTCACTCCCCCCAGGAAAGTTTTAATTCATTCCACATGCAGGGGGATAAAACGCAACATCGACAGGTGAGGTCTGGAAATGAGACAATAGAAGTAACTAAACTAAATTTCATCGGTCATCCAGAAGAACATTCTAGATGCCGGTGGCTTGATCCAGATATCTGGGGCACAAACATCTTCTCACAGTGCTTCAGTACACCCACAAAGGTGCAAACCTGAGACACGTTTAGCAACGGCCAAAATCGGCATTACAGGTTTGACATCAAGCGTGGGGCTGAGAGCCTACTTTGAGTATGAAACGCATTGCTTCTGGAAACTTCCAGTCACTAAAGAGAACTGGACCCCCACACGTGAACACGGGCCACAGTATGACGACAGCATTCACAAGGAAAAACGTTCAGGGGCAAATAAATGCGTAGGCTGTCCTGCGCTAAAGCCCAGGGCCCCACCCTGCCTCCAGAAAAATCGGCAACACGTGAACGTCCATCCTGTTGTCAGCCTAGGGCCCCCAGATAAATGAATTCACCCCAGAACGAGTCCAATAAAAACAAGCCTCAGATAATTTTCCTTCCATGTCCAGAGTCTTGGCAAAGTTGACCACTAGCCTGTTTTCACTGGTACGTTAAATCTACTAGCTCCTCGTGGACATTTCACCCGTACTTCTGTAAGAAACTGACATCTATTCTAAGGTGGTTGCTTACACAGAATATTTACCAACAAGATTTACCCACACGTACAGTGTCAAAAAGAATATTTACTAACAGCTATCAAAAATAACTTTGTTTACTGTGAAATTTGGCATTTACAGATGCTATTTCCATACAAACCTGTTTCCGAAGACAACGCTCGCAAAATCTGTAATGAACTCCTCCGATATCCTGAAAGCAGAGAGCAGCGAAACATCAAGCCCAGCCTGAGGTCAGACGGCAATCTTTATTCCTTTTGACTTTATCATCTTCATGATCCTTTAACTCCATCTCTGGATATTTACAACTCAGTTCTTAAGAGAAAAAAAAACACCTCCATTCATTAAAATCACCATGAGATGGTCACTCTTCAACCGTAAGTGTCAAATCTACACTTTGACAGTTTTTTGTTCAGGTAATCACAGATTTAAGACGAATATACCCCAAAACTTCACTGATAGGCCATGCTTTATGTAATTAGAAAAGGTAATAAAAAAAAGAAAATACCATTACCTAAGTTCCCGAAGATCGTCTTTGAAGACCTGAAATACAGAGATTTTCCAAAATAAATGTCTACAGAAGAACAAGCTCACAGCAAACCTCAGGAGGACACCTGCAGATACTTCAGCCACCAGGGAGCATTGGAGAGGCAGTGGTGGGGTTCCTCGGCCACCTACCTCCTGCTTCAGTGAAGAGGTGGGAAGTCTCAGCGCCTCCTTCAGCAGGCTATACATTCCTGCCACTATGAGGCTCAGGCGGTCCTCGGGAACGTCACTGTTTTCCGCTATGGATCTCATCAGGTCCCTGCAGTCCTTCCCCTCCACGGCGCTCACTACCGCTGAGGAGAATAAGGAGCAATCAGAGCCACTGCAGTCCGTGCCACCTGATGGAAGTGTCAGCACCCATCCGATGCATTTGTCTTGTGTTGCACTGGCTTTCAGATTTCAGGCGTCCTGCTTTTTTGCAATGTAAACCAATTACCGATAAACAGTTTTAGGGTATGAAATGTCCTCTGTATGGACTGCCTCTATAAAGTTAGCAGCAAGTTTTTTTTATTCCTGCAAATATCTCGATACAAACATTAGTGTGTGCACAACGGATTGCAACATGCAAGCAATACAACTTTCGCTTTCGTGCATGAAGGGAGGCACACAGACGCTACCAGTGTTACCCTTTTTAAAGCCTTTATAAAACACGTACCTTCATAAAAGACCCGCGTGTGAGCAAATAAGATGCAAATATCGGCGATCAGAAGAAAAGGTGAAATGCGACAGACGAAAACGCTCGTACAGCATACAAAGACTGCAGGTGATGTGCACGGCGATCACTCACCTTTCAGTATTTTCCTGAACAGCTCTTTATCCAGGTCTCTAATGTGCCTCGCCATCGCATCGATCTCAACAGGAATCCGGCCCCCCAGGAAGCCACTGCCCTCCGCCATAACGCCCCCCTTGGCGCTCCCGGGCACGGACATGTCCGCGGTGCAAATCGCTCCTCGTCTTTAAAAATCCGGCCGATCCCCAAACAAGAGCAAAGGGATCCAACAACGGCTGATCCGACAGATTCCGCGGCTCGGATGCGGGAACAGACGAGTTACGATCCTGATCGGATCTTCAGAAGGCTCATACTAACTGATCACACCAGAGGAAAGTAAATGTATCATTTTCTACGGTATATATCCGATACTGTAGCCAGACTCCCCAGGACTGACGGCGCGGCTCCACGCTTCCGCCTTCTCACGTGACTCAGACGAAAGGCTGTCGCAGGGGAGGCGACCCCTGTAGGAGACTGTGGGAACTGACACTGCTTTCGGCAAGGAGGCTGGATGAAAGCATAAGCTGCTGAAATGCAACGATTTTCTACGGTTCGACCAAAAACATCACCTTAATTTTTCCACATGAGCATAAGCTTGAAAAACAAAGTTTTCTTTATCAGAATCAACGGAGGGAATCTGCCCTGGAAATGAAAATGGATCCCTGCTCAACAGGTCAGGGGTCTCTCAACAGCCAAATCAAAAACCGAATTTATGTCGTTTTTTATTATCAAAATAACACATTCTGACTTTAAATTTAACCTGAGGATTTTTTAAACTATAGTAGCCTTCTGTTTGTTTTTAATATTTATTGAGACATGTAAACTCAACAACATACATCTATCACCATAACTTTAAAACCACGTGCCTAATATTGTGTGGAACCCTCTAGTGACACTAAAACAGCTCTGGCCTGATGAGGTATGGACTCGACAAGACCTCTGAAGGTGTCCTGTGGTATCTGGCCAAGACGTTAGCAGCAGATCCTTTAACTCCTGTAAGTTGAGAAGTGGGGCCTCCATAGATTAGATGTGTGTGGAAGGGTTGCATTATTCTGCTGAATGAGGCCACTGCTACTGAGAAATGCCGTTGCAACGAAGGGGTGCACATGCTCTGCAGCAATGTTAGGTAGGTGGTACACGTCAAAGTAATATCCACATGAATGCCAGGACCCAAAGTTTCCTAGCATTTCTCACATTGCCCAGAGCATCACCCTGCTTCCACCAACTTGCCTTCTTCCCATAGTGCATCTCTTCCCCAGGTAAACGACACACATACACAGCCAGCTGTCCGCATGATGTAACAGAAAATGTGATTCATCAGACCAGGCCACCTTCTTCCATTGCTTCCTGGTCCGGTTCGGATGCTCACATGCCCATTGTAGGCATGTTTAATGGTGGAGAGGGGTGTGCCTCCTCTAGGTCTTCTGTGGGACCAAACCACATCGGCATTCACATCAGTGAGCCTTAAGCACCCAAGACCCCATCGCCGGTTCACCCTCTATTCTGGAGATGCTCTGACCCAGTTGTCTAGCCATCACAATTTGGCCTTCTCACACTTGCTGAGATTCTTACGCAAGCCTATCTTCCTGCTTCCAATGCATCAAGAACTAACTGATTGTAATGAGATTATCAGTGTTATTCACTTCACCTATCAGTGGTTTTAATGTCGTGGCTGATTGGTGTATACCACTAATCTCATTAGTAATTCATTTTTAATTAAACCAAGTTAATTAAGGTTAGCTGAGCTGCAATGCATATGCATTGACTCTGGAAAATTCATTAGCTAAATACACCACATGTCTTGTCCAAGTTAGTATCAGTTAAGCACTAGTCAGGTAACCAAAAAATTTCAATCTCATAAATGCAACCAACATGCACAAGGTATGCAACACAAAAAAAGTAGAGCTCATGTTAAAACTCAAGAGAACGAACATCTCTTCTTGAATTTCAGATGCATGTTAGAAGAAAGTAAAACAAAAAATTGCCTTGACGTATCTTGATTTTAAAAAACAATGTTAAAGAACTAAGTAATTTGGAATTAGGGGTCAATACCTGCTCATGGGAGGAAAAAATTATTGGTTCAGAGAGAAAACCAATCAGATTGTAGAGGAGGTAGGTCCAAGCAACTAGAAGAGGCGGGACCAAGACATCTGATTGGTTGGTCCTGTCTCCTCTAGTTGCTTGGAAGTACCTCCTCTACAATCCGATTGGTTCTCTCTCTAAACCAATCATTTTACCTTCTGCCCTCAACATTTTTGTGTAAGTAAAACTCCCACAACCTCAATACCATGCCGAATTCTGACAGGTATTTTGATCAAAATGCAAATATGGTATCAAAAACATAGATTTTTTTCTATCAAAATAATTTGCCATGGACACAGATGAGCCTTGCCACAGACACCTGTCTGTACAGAAAGGTTGACGATCCCCATACATCTGTGAAAAATCTTATGCGTTTTTTCAAAAAGCTTCTGTGGATGTAATGAAAAGCGAATGGATGGATGGGATGCTGAAGAAATAAAATGCTTAGAATGAACCTGAGAATTGTCTAGAAAAAGATGAGAAAGGCGGCAGGAAAAGCAAGCAGGGAAAGAGATTAAGGAAAGGGGAAAAAAAATAAGGAGGAAAGACAAGATGAGGCATGAAACGGAAACACCTCAACAAGTCAATTATAATCAGGTGAATAATTCAGGTACAGAAGATAATCAGGAAAAGAGAGAAGCCATCTGCACAAAAATCCGGGGCTGGTTTGGTAGAGCAGTGGCTAAGGACCTCAATAAATGTCAAAATACAAAAAGAGTCAAATGGACAGGAAAAATGCAAAATGCCACGGGAAGGGAAGTTCAGTAGGTTCAGCTGCAAATTTACTGTAAGCAGCAAAAATAACTACCACAGTCTGACCTTTCAGCCACTGTAAGGTTTTATAAAAATCAAACATGGAGCTGCTGCTACACATTAATGATATCATGGGGTTATAGTTTCAAGCAGTATTGTTTCTGAAGTCCCTGCAGCCCTCAGCAGAATAGGTGGTTAGAAGATGAATGGATTGGATATTTTTGTAATTACCTAACACTCTAATTGGGTTCTCTAGTATAAATTTAATTAGTATTGTAAGTGTATAGTTCTTGGTTATTATGTTATTCCCAGTTTTTCTATCAAAACTCTAATGGGTGATACTGTCTACGCGCATAGTGATGTTTTTACCTTCCACCTTATCACTATACCCACACTACTCAGTCTACCTGGTGACATAGTTCCTGAACGTGCCTGGAATCTTCAGGGTTTGGGATGCCTGACTCGGAATGGCTACTTTTTTCATTTTTTTTTACTGTGTATGTTAATGACCTTTTTTCAAAACCTAAATACAGAATAAAGTGCTTTTCAGTTTTCACTGAACCAAAGGGGTGGAACCTACTTCATTGCCGGGGCCAAGACAGATAAATGCACAATTTGAAAAGTAAACCTTTAATCTCATTTAGGTTCAACTTTTAAAAGTTAAAATGAGTACAGCATTCACAAAGCATTTTTGTATAAAACTGGCTTCCTCATGGGACAAATTATTGTTCTCCAGGTATAGCATTCTTTTCAATCAAAGCCAGTTATTTCTTGTTTTTCTGTATTGCTGGTTCCAAAAAGTCTCATTAAACACTGTTATCCATTTCATCCATCTGTCCTGGTCCAGCGGTAGAGTCTAATTTAGCTCATACTAATTAATAATAAGGAATGTTTCCCAAGGCACTCCAGCATCTGGATATCCTGCTTGCACTTACCATGTGCAGACCAACACCTCCAGGGTAAATATGTATAGATGCACCCAATGGTCCAGAGCCGTGTCTTCAGCTGTACTGTGTACTTCATTCCGATGCAGGTCCATCCAGGCCTGTTGAAAGCACTGCTTGTTACTGGGGTGATGTGGTGGAGGTGCCTCTTCTGTGTTGTGTAGATGGTAGGTTGGGTACCTCTGGCAAATGGGGGGGGGGGGGGGGGGGGGGTGCTCCCTATTTTTTTTGCAAAGGAAGGAAGAGGTTGTGTTCCAGCTATGGTTGGTAGGGGGGGGGGGTTCTAAGGAGGCTGAGAAACAGCTGTTCCATATGGAGTCTCATTGGATTCAGAGGGACATTGTGGAGTTCGGTCTGACCCTGGAACAGTGGACCAGCTCCTCACTCTCTCACAGCTGTGCCAGCACAGTGTACAGTGCCTTGAAAAAGTATTCATACCCCTTCAACGTTTTCACATTTGTCACCTTACCACCACAAACTTAAATGTTTTTACTGAGATTTTATGTGATAGACCAACACAAAGAAACACATAATTGTGAAGTGGAACGAAAAAGATGGTTTTCAAAAATGTCATCTATGACCAATATATGTATAACTGAGGCTGATGTGGTACTAAGCCTAGCCAAGCTCAAAATAAATCGCAGGGCCCTGATTGCATCTTACCTATAGTTTTAAAAGAGATGAGGGACATTATTAGCCAACCATTAACTTTAATATTCCAGAAATCGTTATCTGGGGGTGTGGTACCTTCTGATTGGAAGGATGCTAATATAACGCCCATATTCAGAAAGGGGGATAGAAGTAATCCAGCAAACTATAGGCCAATCAGTTTAACTAGCATTACTGGAAAAAAAATGGAAGCTATAATCCAAGTGAAAATGGTAGATTATCTGGATGCAAATAACATTCTGAGGGATAGCCAACATGGATTTAGGAGAGGTAGATCCTGTTTAACGAATCTACTTGAGTTCTTTGAGGAAGCTACAAGTGAATTTAATCACAAAAAGGTCTACGACGTGATCTACTTAGATTTACAGAAGGGCTTTGATGTTGTCCCCCACAAATGGCTCTTGCTTAAACTCAAAGCTGCAGGGATTTTAGGAATTGTAGCAGCTTGGATCAAAAACTGGTTAACTGACAGGAAGCAGCGAGTAGTTATTAGAGGCACAATGTCACAGTGGGCCTGCGTTCATAGTGGGGTACCGCAGGGTTCAATTTTAGGACCACTAATCAGGGTTCCCACTCTTTTTCACTGACAAAATTTCAAAACTTTTCCATGAATTTTTCATGACCTAAAGTGAATTTTCCATGACTTTACGGCACCCTAAGTGTGTAGAATTTAGCATACATTTAGGGCTAAATATGAAATGTTAACCCTTTCCACTGACCTTATGGTATGGTATCATATACATTCAAAATACTGTCAATGCATTTGTTGTAGTCTTTATTAAACAAAAGACCTTTACGACCAAGTATGAAAATGACTTTCAAGCTCATGGGAAAATAGTGGGCTTGTTGAACAAAGACTATTGTAGGCTGTAGGCTTTACAAAAAACAAACAAAACACGTCTGCCTCAGTGTTTAAATACAAAGATTGCGCGAGTGTAATTCTTAATGAGGCTTTGTCGCCACCTTGTGGCAACAGTTTAGAATGTCCTTAATTTTCCACAGAGAA